CGGTGCCCAGCAGCATCCCGCCCCAGCTGGGGGTCCCTCCTTTTGGCTGTGCCTGGTTTGAGGCAGGCTGGCTGCTGGAGACCCATCGGGAGCCCCCCCAGTGCTGTCGGTGTGGTGGGCAGGAGGGATGTGTGCCATGCTGCAGCCTGTGGCAGGCAGCTCCTGCCAGCCTGCAGGACCATCCTGCTGCCTAGCAGGGAGAGAAAGGCTTGGGTTTGTACGGCCAATTTAGTTAATCTCTAGAAGCATCCAGTGTGCTTTGCCTTTTGTCTTCTTTGTCTTGCAACAAAGGAGGAGCTGTGACCCTCTTGCCCTCCCCACCAGCTCCCCAGTCCCCAGGTCAGCAGTGCTTCCATTTCTGTGTTTTCTTCTTGGACAGAGATTTCCTTATCAGAAACCTGCTGGGGGCTGGGGACCAGCACCCCAATATCCCTGCCACTGGGCTAGCTAGAAGTGCAGCTGCAGGGAAGGTGTCTTGTGATTGCAGCTCTTTCAAGGATGGAAACTGTCTCAGCTCAGTTCCTCATCATGCTTGGCCACGATTTGGTGTGCCAGAGACCACTGCAGCTTTCCTTGCTTTATTAATGGGCCAAATTAGCTTTAGGACTCTCTTTCCTGCTGTGTGGCAGCTACTTGAGTTCTGGGCACGGAGAACCACTACATGCTTCAGCAACAGAAGAGCACATCACAGATCGTGGTGGCCTGTGACAGCAATTCCCAAAAGAAATTCTGACCCCTCTTAGTCCCATTCTGGGCTGAGAGGCTGTGCCACAATGTTAGGGTGAGGTCTGGCATCACGGAACAGCACAGTTAAGCTTGGACCACCTGCCCTAAGCAGAGGGGGGGCTATTCCTGTGAGGTTGGATGTATTTGACAGCCACGGGAAAAGCTGAGGCACAATGCAAGGGGAGCTTTCCCCGAGGGGCCAGGGCATGTTGCCTGGTTCCCAGAGAACACGAGGCTCCTTTCCCGCCTGCAAGGCTGGCAGCACCCATGCTGTGTAGGACATGCATGCTGGGGGCTTATCTGCACAGCCCGATAGCCCGGGGGCAGCACAGCAGCCTGCTCTCTATTTATGCAGTACCCCAGCAGCTACCGAGCATCACCTGCCTGTGTGTGCCCGCCTGGAGAACTTGTGCAAGGCGTGGGAAAGTCTGTGAGATACCATCTCTGCCCCGCGGCCCAGCCTGCCCTGCTCCGGCGCACGTGGCCCTTGGCAGACCCCTCAGCCCCCATCCTCCTCCTCCCCCAGCTGCTCCAGGCTGTGCTGGAGCCCATGGTTGGCCACGATTTGGTGGTTTGGACGATTTTGGTCCATGGTTGCACCCCACCACGAGCCCATAGACTCCAGGGTGCATGCTGGGGTGCAGGCAGGCAGGCAGCTGCCCACTGCCTCTGCCCGTGCTGGCTGTCCTGCTGCAGCGTGGGGAGATGCCGGGGCCTGCCTAATGGGAGAGAGTAACACCCTGCAGAGAGCAGCCCTGCTTTGGGTTTTGTGCCCAGCAGCTGCACCTGGAGCTGATACGGATCCCTGGCTGGGGAGAGTAGCAGCAAAAGGTGCCGAGGAAAGTTGATATGACAAGACCAAAATAATTCACGGGTTGAATCATGGAAGCATCTCAGGCTTTATCCTCTGGGATAGGAACGAAACTCGTTGTGCTGCAGCAGCTGAAGTGGCACAGTCAAAGTGAAACATCTCAAACCGACATTTCAGTATTTTCCAAAACAGAGTATTTCAGAGCCGATGTAGCTATGCTAAATGTCAAAGCTTCAACTCTTTGTTCCGAACCAAGACAAAAGAAATGCTGAACTGTCAGGATTTTCCATCAAATGGAAAGGATGAGCAGCACCTGGGTCCCACAGGCCATCCATGGCAGCAGCTGGGGGGCCACAGCCTGCAGCCCCACTGGCCATCATCCAGGTCTCACCAGCAGCAGCTCCAGGTGGCTGCCAGGAGCTGGGGCAGCCTGAGATGGGTCTCCTGTTCAGGGAGGAGGGTCATGAGCAGCCCTCATGCTGCCCCTGCTGCCCTCCTGCCTCTCTGAAGAGGAGCAGCACCCCATCCTGCTGGGTGGGGGCAGGGGGCATGGGTGATGCTGTGTGAGGACTGCAGGATGTCCACATGGCAGCAGCCCTGGGTCCCCCTGGGTGCACTGAAGGCAATGCTGGCAGGGCTCAGGGTGCTGTGCTGCTGGGTGAGCCGTGGTTGTTTTTCAGTCACCAGGGGTGTCACACCCTGCTTCCTGCACAGGCGGCCCGGCGCTTCCTGCACCCACAGCTATCATTAGCAGGGCAGCTGGTGGTCACGGGTGCAGAGCCCTCCTGGGGGGTCACAGCACCCTCATGGTGGGCTCACCAGATCAGTGGGGCTGTGTTGGGCACCCACCCTCCAGCCGTGCTGCAGGCCAGGGGGTACAGAGGTGGTGTCAGGGGGGCATCCTCTGCTTGATGCCCCATCTTGGGGATGCCACCACGGGACCATCCCTGGCCATGTGGAGGGAGAGCCAGTGCAGGCAGCCCTGGGCAGCTGGGACCAGCTTGTCCAGGCAGAGCTGGCACACCAGGAGCTGGAGAAATCTCCTGCCAGCTTCCTGCCACACTCTTCAAAGATGCAGGCAGTATTTTCTAATTAACCTTCCCCCACCCTGCCAGGCAGGGAGGTGATTTTATCTTCATAGGTCTTGTGGAAGAAGCAGAGTCTAAAAATCTTGCCTGAGGGCCCCAGTAGGGTTGGTGCCTTCTCAGGGCTCAGCCTTGGCCAGGCAGCCCTGCTTCAGAGCCTCCTGCAGTGCTGCTCTTCCTAGAGGGAACCAAGACCTTCATCAAAAGATGAGGAGACTTGCAGAGCTGGCTTCCCCAGTTCCTACAATGCCAGCATGCTTCGGAGTATGGCTGGGAAGAAGAGGTTTCAAGCAGCTGCAGTTGTGCACAGAGCAAAATTGTCTTGATCTTGCAGGGGTGCTTTGTGGGGGATTTCTTAATGGGTCTTCTTGTCAGGCTGAGGCTGACAGTACCACTGAATCCAGCATTGTCAGCCTACATGAATAATGAATAGTCGTCACATGAATATTTTAGAGACACAGTCCTGAGATCTCCTCCCAGTGCTGCCTTAGAGGAAAATGGAGAAAAAGTTGTCCAGAAAGAACAATGTTTCCTTTAGGAAAAAAATGTACTGGTGGTATTTGGTTTGGAAAAAGAACTGCTGCTGCTAAATAATTCTCAGGATTTGCATCAAAAATGGAGCTGTGGTTTGGCTCCAAGGCAGAAGAAGTTGGGAGGGAAGCCAGCCCTTTTGACACAAGTCGATGATTGCTGTGTGCTAGAAGGACAGCAGATTTGACTTCGTCTGTGCAATGATTTTGCAAAGGGTCCTAAAGCTATGGCCACCTTCCAAAGATCTGCCAGTGCTGGGCACTTGGTTTACACACTTCAAGTGCTAAGCACCTCTGTACACCTCTGGTGACAGCATCTTTTTCTTTAATCCATGCATAAATGTATTCTAGAAGCAGCAGGTTGTGGTGTTCAGGTAAAACCAGAAGAAACCTGTCTTGCTCAGGTAGGCACAGCAGAGCAATATGGTTTAAACTACAAGTGGGTAGACTTAGACTAGATATAAGGAGGATGTGTTTTACGGTGCAGCCCAGAGAGGTGGTAGATGCCCCATCTGTGGAAACGTTCAGGATCAGGTTGGACAGGGCTCTGAGCAGTCTGATCTAGTCGAAGATGTCCCTGCTTACTCTTGGGGGTTGGACTAGATGGTCCCTTCCAACCCAAACTGTTTCAATGATTCTAAAAGGAGTGGAATGAGAAACACTGCAATTAGAAATAGGCAATTAGGACTCTAGCTGAGCCTTGGGTGTCTCTATCACTCAGATGACCCTATCTGGATCTCCTTCAGCATTTCACTGCTCAAAGCCATCCCCACTGTGCTGCTGGCATCAGCAGACAGAAGTAATTCCTTAGTGTTTATGAAGTGCTCAAAAATGTGTCTGTTGCAAGAATGAGGGCATTTCTGTGCATTTCTTCAGCAGCTCCCACAGAGGTGGCAGAAAATACTTGAGGTGACTGTCCGTGCAGTGCTTCAGGCTGGAAATGGGGAGTGGTGGGGGAAGAAAGGGCAACATGTGGGAAAACCATCCTCATAAAAATGCTCAGATCTTCAGGTTACCCTCACACCTCGCTGCCCCAGGATGCACAGAGGGTTGCAGGCGGTGGAGCAAGCCTGAGCCTCCTCTTCCCACTGTGCCAGCACTTCTGCCCATCCCCAGGTACCTCTGTTTCCATTTTGTGCCACCGGCCACGGTGCCTCTGTCCCGTGCAGGTCCGTGGAGCTCTGTGCCCTGTCCCGGTGGCTGCGTTCTCAGCCAAGGACCCTGGTGGTGCTGAGGCTGAGCTGCCGGGGCTGCACCAAGGGGTTTATGGAAGCGTTTTGCCCCCGGCTGGGCAGCCTGGGAATGGCACTGCGTGTGCCTTGGCTGGGGCTGGAAGCGCTGCCAGACCCAGGGCGTGGGGAAGGCTGGGACGGCTGGCTGCTCTGGTTGGTGATTATGCAGCGTAGAAGAAAGGTAACTTTTAACTGAAGTACAAAAGAAGTGCAGTAATGAGCACTTATAATGCTGCCTTGGTGCCCACATAAAAACCTGAGATGATTTTATTAAAGATGATTTGGTTAAAAAAGAATTTACCAAGTGGCTGCATGCTGTCTGCAGCCCACCAGCCTTCCACTGGAGCACCTCACGTAAATGAAAAGCCAAATGCTGAGTCCCCTTTCATCCATCTTATTTGCCTTTAAGAAGCACAGGAGGGATTGGGCCAGACTGGTGGTGGTGGCAGAGCCTGGGATGAGCATGGCATGGGTTCAGATGTACCTGGGAAGTTTATGTTGGATGCTTTGAAAAGGAGAAGAAAGGAAGAACTGTGTCTTCCTAACAAGTGTTTATCATGGGAGGCATCATGCAGTGCTGAGCATGAGAACAGACTGGTCCTGCCCAGGGGGGTTGCAGCCTGCCATGCTGCTGGCAGCCAGCACCTGCAGTGAAGCTCTGCCTGCCTGTGTAGACAGTACCTGTGTTTTCCAGGGATTATCTGGGTTATTCTCCAGTTACGAAGGATACACATTACAGAGTTATAGTAGAAAAATATCTGGCCTTAACCCAACACCCATAAAGGAGAAATGGTTCATAAATCAGTTCACTGTGCAAGAACAGGTCAAGTTGTTTATTAATTTAGCCTTCCCTCCTATCTTGACCCCAACTGGCCACCCCAGCTGCTGCTGGAACATTTGATCATTCCCTGGCAGGGTGGGCAATGTCCTCCATCCTGCAGAGATGCCCAGGCTCTGGGTGGGCTTTGGCAGCTCCCTCACAGCACACCCCTCCACTGCCCGCACCCCGGGTCCCTCTTTGTCATCACCCTTCCTCAAATGCCGTGCTGGGGTGATGGAAACTGGGATCCCGTGTCGGGAAAGCTCAGCTCCACCAGCCTCTGGCTTTCCC